GTTTGTTTAATATTCCAAATGAAGGTCTATATGCTTACCCATTAATCAAAAGTATACTTCAAAACCTGGCCGCTAAAAAAATTCCTTCTTCAGCCAGTTTACAATTTAATTATTACTACATATCTGTTCATGATCTGTGACTTTTTTTAATGAAGGTCAACTGTTTAAAATTTATAAAGATTTATGCTCATTTAATTACAGCCTGTATAAAATTCACTCCTACAACTGTTATCTTGATAGATAGAGAAAACCCTGATGAGCAATTACGTTGTGATAGTTTTTCAGCAAAAAAGAAAATATTCTTAAAAAGAAATTGAAGAAATAACAAGAATTAACTTCAACAGGCATCTGAAAGTGAAAAAAATTAATTCTCTACGTTTGCTTTTTATTAATGTCTTGTGGGAAAAATAACCCCAAAACCAAGTGAAAGGAACTATTATTTTTCTTTCTCCCGAGGGTAGCTGCATTGCTCATTCAGTCATTCCATATATATATGGCATCAACTATGTTCTAGGTATAGTGCTAGTAACACAGATGCGGTGATTTTAAAAAATACTGGTCCCTATCCTCAGAAAGGAGAGATGATACTACACAAATATCCACATAATTAAGTACACTTATGATGAGTGATGGCTTTGAAAGGTATAGGGAGCCAGGGAGCCAGAGGCCCAGGACCCGGCAGCATCTCAGTGCTGGGGATCAGACTGACCCAAGTGTGAGTCTGGGTTTGAGCATTTACTGGCTGGGTGACTAGTGGCAACTTACTTCATGTCTCTGGGCTTCAAGTCCCCATCAAAGCTCTTCAGGGACACCAACCACACCTTAAGGCTGCTGTGAAGACTTCATGACACAACAAACAATGCCCAATCTGACCCACAGTGAGCATTAGCTCCTTTCTCTTTCTTCCGTTAACCTTTCTCTGGAGCTGTTCACAAGAATATGATTATCTAAAGACAGAATCAGGTTCCACATCCCAAAGTCCTTTTACCTTTTTCTTTGCTTATTCACTACAGTTCATTATGTTCTTTAGAGGAAATAATCAGTAAATGTTTACAGACACCTCCCATATTACAGGTCCTAGAGTCCTCGACTCCATTCCCTACACCATTGCCTACACCGAGCTTCAGAATTCTGGTGACAATAGTGCCTCCTGAGAGACTTCTGTGGGCAAATATACACTCCACAAAAGAAAAGCACTGGTTTTCACAACCAAGAATATCAGCAAAAACCTAAAAACACAAGCTGTAAGAAGGGATGCTCCCTAGCTCTCAACCACAACTCAAATCTCAGGAATTGTAGGAAAGCTGAGGAAAAAAGGAAGAGAAAAGGAACCCACAAAAGCAGCATCCCTGTTGCATGAGGCATTGAAGTTGGAACTTCACATTTAATACATTTGTTCCTCCCACTTTTATTTATTAGGTAAGAAATCCAATGCTCAGAGAATAGAAGTAGCCCCAGGTCCCAGAGTGGTGGAGCCCATTGTCTGGCTGTCTCCAAAACTCATGCTCTTTCCACTATGGCATAGTATACCATATTAATAACCCCAAGGTTATTGCTTGTTTCAATTTGCAATGCAGCAATTTAACCATTTTAAATTAATCCTTGAAAAATCACCAAGAGATTAAAATGCAAATTTCAACATGGCTAGAGCTCAATAGTGACTCCATGTCAAAAATCATATAAATTGGTCTTATAAAAGTTCAGATTCTCCTTAGAGGAAAAGCTTGCCTGCTTCATTTCATATTTGAGCTATGAAAAATTATTTCTTTTCCTTTTTCCTCATGAATACAAAAGTCAACTGTTGGGAGGCAGGATGGGTAGGCATAATGGGAACAAAATGCTTCAGTTCCTTACATACCTGGGGATGACACCTCGCTTAGGAGCAGGCCTTGGGCAGGTAACCTCAGGTCTGTGAGCCTGGGTCCCTAAGTGTACCATGGGGCTCATGTCTACTGTCACGGAGGAGCTGGGAGGATTTCAACGGAGCCATGTACATTAGAAGCCTGGAAGATTGTTTTATCATTCCTGCTTAGAAACGAATAGGCAGCCTTTTACCAGTTAGCCAAGGAGGACTTAGTGGACAACGGGTCATACACAGGGAACTGGTTCATCAGTGGCAAAATCAGCTGAGAGGATGCGAACTTTTTATATAGTGGAGGCTGAGGAGGTAGCATACAGTACAGACAGGAATTGGAGATTGGGCTATGAAAAAAAGACAGTTTTATTTTTCTCTAGACTATTTCTAATCTCAGTAATTGTGGTTTAGAAAATTAACAAGTTATCAGAATGTTCTTGGCCCTTAAAATTTGAAAAAAAAATTTAAAAAAAATCTAAACTAGGCAGTAATGTTTACCATAACATTATTTACAACAACAAAACATTAGAAACAATTGAAATGTCTATCTATTAGTGGGAAGCACAGCTAACACACTGTGGGCATGCTTGGTAAATTATGGTAGATACTTGTCTTTTCTCTCTCCTAATACCATGTACCCCCTTCTCAATGAAAAGTCATAGTGAAAGATTTTTAAAAGACATAAACTCCCCCCAAACTGCAGAAAAGACAGTAAAGGAAGAAAGATGTCAAGTTTTTAGAGGCCAGAAAGCAGATGTTATTGAATAAATGGTTCTCAACTTGGGTCATTTGCCACCAGGGGACATTTGGCAATCTCGGGAGACACTGTGGTTGTCAGAGCTGGGGGTGGGGGCTGCGCTCTCATCACATGGTGGGTAAAGCCCAGGGATGCTGCCAAACACCCCACAATGTACAAGGAGAGTCCCACACTAGAAAAAATTATCTGACCCAAGCTGATTAGAGTGCCAACTGAGGTTGAAAAACTAAAGGAGAATGACTTGGTGGCCCAGAAAAAGCTGAAGACTAAGACTGGGGCCAGGTAACAGGGCAGCAAGCATCAAGGCCAACCTACACCAAAAAATTCCAAAAAGGTCAAAACCTCTGAAGCCCACAGGAAGGGTACCAATAAATATAAGAGTAATTTCATGCCAGCATTCTCTTTTCCTGGCTTACTCAGCTAGCCCACTGGCCTTCCAGTACCCCTCTGAAAGAATAAATATTTACTTTCTAGGGGAACTAAACCAGAAAGGCTTGGGGGACACCAGGTATAGCTGAAAACGGGGCATAAAGCATTAAAGAAAAATGGGGGAGGTGCTAAATAAAATTATACATGCTAAATGTTGATTTACCATGACCGACTGCCCCCACCAGCCTCCAGAGCACTGGAAACTAAGTGTATACTCCCCAACAAGAGAAAACTGACTAGACTCCCCACCAAAAAGATCCTGATATTGATATTTAAGAACCTCCAACCCCAAGAACCCCAAGTAGCCAGGCCTCTGATCCATTATATACAATAACAAAACTTCACTAACTTGATTACTTGAAATTTATAATTTGTCTGCTCTATAGACAAAAGAATTCCCTGTCTATGACTCTATAATATAATAGTTATGGAGAAATATACCCCTTATTCCAGTATTTTAAAAAAAGTAATCAAGTATATACCCCAAAGAATGGAAAGCAGGGACTTAAACAGATGTGTGTACACCAACATTCAGAGTGACATATTCACAACAGCTGAAGGGTAGAAGCAACCCAAGTGTCCATTGATGGATAAGTAAAATAACAACATGTTATATACATGCAATGGAATATTATTAAACCTTATAAAGTAAAGCAATTCTGACTCATGCTACAACATGGACAAGCCATAAAGGCGTTATACAAGGTAAAAATAGCCAGACACAAAAGGACAGATATTGCATGGTTCTACTTAGATGAGGTGTCTAGAGGAGTCAAACTCACAGAGAAAGAAAAAAACAGTAGTTGCCAGGGCTGGGAATGAGGTAGAGAGTGGAGAGTTGCTGTTTAAAGGGCCGTTTAATGCATATGGAGTTTCGGCGGGGAAAATGAAAAGGTGCGGGAGATGGACACTGGCAAAGGCTGCACGACCCTGTGAATGTGCTTACGCCAGTGAAATATATACACTTAAGGATGGTTAAAATGGTAAATTTTATGTTACGTACATTTTGCCACAATTAAAAAAAGAAATCACGCCCTGGCTGGTGTAGTTCAGTGGATTGAGCACGGGCCTGTGAAGCAAAGGGTCACGGGTTCAATTCCCAGTCAGGGCACATGCCTGGGTTGCAGACCAGGTCCCCAGTAGGGGACACATGAGAGGCAACCGCACACTAATGTTTCTCTCCCACTCTTTCTCCTTCCCTTCCCCCCTCTCTAAATAAATAAATAAATAAAATATTTTTAAAAAAGAAATCAACTTCCTAAGTGGTGGTGATTCCATATTTAATTCTTTAAAAAGTACTATTTATAATCTGAGTAAAACGTTTTGAAAACACGCCCGAAGGCTAGGCTTGATATGTCATCCAGCTTGTCAGAGCTCAGACATCAACCTCTGCCCCATCGGACTCAAGTTCATAGTTACTAAGTCTTTTGGGAGTAGGGATCTTCACCTTATACCCACAAATACTTTATTTTTTCTCTTATAAATGTAGTAGAAATATAATTCTACTTGAGTAAATCTACCCTAATAGAGAAATCTTTATATGAAAACATTCTATTTACAGCAGTAAAAAAAAAAAACACATTTAAATGCACGACAGTGAGGAAACAGGAAAAACTATATAGCAAATGAAATATTATGCAGCCAACAAGAATGATTCTTATGCATGAAATGAAAAAATGCCTATTAGCAGGTGATTTTAACTATGTAAAAAATACATTCTAAAAAGACTAGAATGAGACATCAACATGTTACTAGATGATTGCCTTTGAGAAATATAAATATTCATTCCTCCTTGTCTTTATAGTTTCAATAATTTTCAAATATTCTCTACTTATTTTTGCCTTTATAATGTATCATTTTATAATGGAGAAAAATATATCCCTTTATTTCCTTTTTAAAATAAGTTAAAAAAACAAAACAGAATACAAATTTAATTTTTTTTTTCTCCCAAGTACTCACATTCTCAGGTATGCTGGGAAGTTCTCTGGTATCGGGCACAGTAAAGTAAGAATGCTAGAAAAGAAAAGCAAAAGCTACTTACTTTTACAAAGATACGCAATAACACACATTATTCAGAAATCAGGTAAATGAGCTGAAGATAATTCCTTACTCAGATGAAGAAAGAGAGTTCCATTCATTGGAAATGTCTATGGAATATTTTCTTTGGTTAATGCTGGATGAAAGCCAGATACATTACCAAATTACCGACTTGGTAGAAAGAGTTCTTTTCTGTGAGAGATGAACTACTTTGGGAGATATAAATGAACCGTTTTGAGAAGTTAAAGGCTAAATTCTCATACTATGTTTGCAGGTTTATGAACACATGAAAGCTGCAGGTTTCATAATTTATTGTTCAATGAGGCGAATGGACTCTCGGGACCAAGTATCACTAGCTTCACTCAGCAGTGGTCTTTACTGACTGAACCATGTCACTTTGGCATCTGAGATTATACCCCTCTATAGGCTGAAGGCAAAATCTGCCCCCAAGGCCCAAGTAATGTTAAGGACAGCGCCAGCTGAAGGACAGCTGCACTGAGACCATTACAGGTGGTTAACAGTGGAGAATTTCTCCCCACTGTGCATGCTCTGCAGACAAGCCTCCTGACTTCTAGTGCAATCTCCAGCTCAGTGGAGTTGAAAATCTGACTTGTTCAAAGAACTTTCAAGGAGGCACTGCCATGTACGTGTCCCTGAGTTAAATGACAACAGGCTGAACTGGTGATACCTCCTCTGTGCTACTAAAGACTCAGAGGACAATGGCAAGCAGGACTGGAAAGAGCCTGGTGCTGGTCAATTAAAGATGGGATTGTGCAAAGGCCAGGAGAGGTCACATGCAGAGAAGGTTGGCTTAGCCACGGCTTGAGTTCAAACCTGGACCCCCAAGTGACATTTCAGAAGTCCCCCAGCCCTGCCATTCTTGGATAATTGCAAAATAGTTGGTCTCTAGAAAAATGAGTCGTATAGCCTTCCTAAAAGACACAGGGACAACCGCAATAATGACAATGACAACAATACTGTGAGCTGTTTGTAAAGATCTGTAATATTCAACAGATCTCTAATACCTGTTACATTGAAAGGTTTATGCCAAATACTTTATACATACCATTTCTAATTTTCATAACAAATTCTAAGGTAGACATTATCTTCACGTCACAAATGGATAATTAAGGCTTATAGAAGTGAAGTAACTTGTTAGGGTCACACAGCTTATAGGTGACAGAACCAGCATTGAAACCAGGCCCAGATAATTAGAGCTATGCTCTTCCCCCTAAAACAGGCTGTTTTACCTGTGCTTTTGATGTGCAAATTATAGCCAAAGCCACTTGAATTAAGATAATAAAATAAAAAAATTTTTTTAAGTTATAAAAGGATAACTTTTAAAAACCTTCTGCAATGCAATATTCCAAAATTTCTGTGCCTGTGCAAAATATTACCCATGAAACATTACAATTGAGATTATGTACCATGGAAACTAGTCAACAATTCCACTTAACAATAAGAATTAAAATAGGAAAAGTAACATACAAGAAATATGGAATTTAATTTCTAATATTATTTCTTGTAAAGTAAAATACAAGAAATAGAAATTTCTCTATTAAATTATATTTTACTTTTCCTATTTTAATTCTCATTGTTAATTGAGTGCACCAACTTCTATTCCAAATGGCTAGAAAGGAGTCCCTGGAAATGTTCAGTAATGGATGTCCACACAGGATGGAGTCCACAAACTAAAGGGTGGCACAGTGAAGGGAAAGAACAGGGACCATAGAGCCGGCCACTTAACAGCTATGTGATTTTAAGCAACTTCAATTAATAGCTCAGAATCTCAGTTTCTGAGTCATAATATCTACTTCAGAACTGTTATGAAGAATAATTGTTAATATGTGAGTGCCTAGCATTCCATAAATGGTATTTTAATTAAAAATTATTATTGCTCTCAAAAGCTAGTTTACATTTTCTATTTTTCTCAGTCACCTGTATCATACATACAGAAATATTCTGTGACTAAAGTCAACAAAAGTCCAGGACTGCCATATTATCATTTCAGGCTGTCCAAGCTAGATGAGATTAGTGCTTCAAAATCAGAAATGCCACATGGAGAACGAAATTCCTTGTGAACAGGAAAGAAAAAAAAATCTGCCTTTACAGATGTAATGGATTGTAACTAGTGAGCCAGTGCAATTCCAGACCCAAGTAGTCACCAAGCTGTCCTTTGAGATTCTGTCTTGCTCCATCGCCCATGAAATGCTGGGACCAGAGGAGGTCAGAAACATTCACAGAAACCACTGGCATGAAACAGCTGTGCCCTCCCAACAGTTTCTCCTGCCCCTGTGATGGTTTGTCCTTGAGGCCTGGCAGCCACTCAGGGGAAGGAGTGGCCCTTCCTCCCCAGCAGCTGGTGACCCAGCCAGGCTACTCCACAGCTAGCTGTCGGATGTCATTACAGACTGAAGTGGTGAGATCAAGCTGCTTAGGAAAAGGAACAGAGGCAAAGGCAAGGTTGCTTAGCTAGACAGTGATGATTGGGGCGGGCTTAAAGCTCATTTCTTCATCTTCTGGACAGTCTTCCTTATGTGAATTTCTGTAACCAGGGTCCTTTCCTTCCCAAGTTCTATTAAAATCAGCAAAAACCTCTACAAATTCCTTTTCCTGTTCCTGCTTTCCTCCCTTTCTTTCAACACTTACAGCCCAGTGGAAAGAACATAAGCTAGGAATTTGGCCCTGGTATTGAAACTTTCTCACAGTTAACTACATAACTTAGATGGGCAAGTACAATGCCTGTTCCCCTCTAAGCCTCATCTATGAAATGAAAATGTTAACATCTATTCGTAGTTGTTTTGAACATTAGAGAGGCATACTTGGTATAAGTTAGGAACTTAGTAAATAGTAGATCTATTATTAGTTATTGCTAGTTAATAATGCTTTCAATTTGATCATCACAGAAAAAAGCCCTATAAGATATGTTCATTTTTTTTAAAGAGGTAAAAGTATCAAGACAATAACTACTGAATACAGTGTGTGGATCTAATGAAGCTGAAAGGCACAACTTTTTAAATGTTCAGACCCGGAACATAGCCCCTGTATAATCAACAGCTGGCCAAAGGATGTCCCTTTGAGAATACTGATGAAGGTGGTGACAAGGTTTGACCTAGGGAATTAGAGGATTCCAGTAACTGAAATGTAGAAGCACATGTATCACTCGGATTCTGGGTAAAACTACAACTAGGACTGAAATCTCACAATTTGTAGTTCAGAGGATTTTCTGCCCTAGCACACTACAGAGGTATAACAAATATATAAAAGAGTTCAAAGAAAGTTACTATTGTAGGCTGGCCAGGAACTATGCTAGGCACTCTCCATTCCTGTCCTCAAGGGACCTACAGTCCAGTGTGGGGAGATAGAAAACAGATCATTCCAATATAATGTGACTAAGTACTGCTAAGTGTACAAGATGCTTGGGACAAAGAAGAAAAATTTAGCTAGCCTTGGAAAGTGTCACGGGAGGATTTCTTAGAATTACATCTGACCTGAGTTCTGAAGGATGAGCACGGAGTACCCTGACAAATAGGGGAGAGGTGCTATTGACGTCTCCGGGGGCAGCGAGATGGGCTTCAGCACATGGGCATGCACAGAAATGTGGGGGGTAGGGCAGGGGCAAGGTGTGAGGCAGGAAGTCTGGGTTGGGGGGGCAGAAGTGATGGGATGACAGCCAGGAAGAGGGGAGCCTGGGGACATTTGAGACCCCTTTCACATGGAATCCCAGAGAGGGGAAGAAACACCACTGCCTGGTACTGCTTGAGTCTAGAGGTCTGAGAGTGCTTGGGGGTGGGGGCGGGAAGGTGCAGATGACAAAAAAAACGATCCTGTTCTGCTAGCTCCTTCTTACTGTTAACAGTGAAATTATTTTCCAGTGATCACTAATATTCTGCCCCCACTTACCACGCTGAGATGAACAGACACTCCTGGGTCAGGGATGGGAAGTCTGTACAGAGTTTCGAGAAGCTCATTCCACTGACTCTCCTGGAAGAAATAAAAGGCCTCAGTAACAAAACCAAGGCTGAACTCTTAGACACCTGCAGGGAGGTCTGGGCACAGAGTAAGCTAGGGGCCCTCATGTGACTGAGGGGCTGGGAGGTGTTGGCCCCAGAACAGAAACAGGTGGACACTGAAGTAGGGTTGGACAGAAGACACTCCTTAGGGCTCAATATAAGAGCCAAACAGATCTTCCCACACAGAGCTTGACATTTTCTACTCAGTGAGACACCTACCATGACCACCTTTTATGGACCATATATCATAAGCTGAGCAAATCTATCCTCTTAACTCCATAGCAACAACTTTTAAATGCAAACAATCCTAGCCTAAAAGACAGGGGTGGTGGGGAGAAATAACAATGACACTATAGATCTTGTCTTTATCATCACTGCCCTCAATTAATTTTATTGAGCGCGCACTGGATACACATGGCGGCCTCCAATTACGGACGGTTAAAAATGGACGATGTACAACAGCATGCAATACAAGATGGTGGCTGCACGTTTTAATTAGTGAAATGAATTACAAAGCAGAACAAATCACTCAACTGAAAACAGATTCACCTTTAAAACACTCAAAAGAACACTGCTTACAGAATTTTCCAAAGCCACTTCTCCCATCATGTGAAACTGTCTCTGTTACTATAATAGTAATAAGCTCACATTTCTATCCTTTAAAAAAATATCTGTATTAATCCTCACAACTACTCCACTTTATAGACAGAAAACTGAGGCTCTGAAGGGTGAAAGCAACTTGGCTCAAATCAGCCAGTAAGTTGCTCAGCCAAGAGCAGAACCCTCTCCGCTGCTCGACAGCTGCTTTTGGTAGTGAATATAAAGGAAAGGAAAAGAGAGGATGAGCTCAGATTAAAAGCCTGTTTCAATCTGAACTGATAAAAATGCTCAAGTTTCTCACAGAGGAGAGAAATATATATGTGTATGTACCAACATGTTTAATTTTGCCCTGAAACAATTTCAAATTTAAAGAATAATTGTAGGACAGCACAAATATGTTAAAAATTTTCTGAACTACTGAGAGTGAGTTGCTAACATTCTGCCCCATCATCCAGAAATACAAAGGATATTCCCCCACATAACCACAACTAATCATCAAAATCGGGAAATTAACACTTACATGACACTACCACCTGATCCTCAGAGCCCATCGAGTTCTGTCAGCTGTGCCAATCGTGGCAAAATAATCCACTTCAGAATCACAAACTGACTTTAGTTACGATTCTCTAGTTAAAGACTAGATAAAAGTCAGAGAAGACCAGTTCCTGTTTTTCTTAGATTAGTGTGAACTTGACAATGAGACCAATCATTTCAGAGAATAACTCTCAACTGTTTGTTTGCTTTCTACTGATTCAGATTTCAATTAACCCCATTACTGATGATGTTCACTTTAATCATTTGATTAATTTATCTGATGTCTCTCCTGTGAGGTTACTCAGTTTCCCTTTGTGTCTAAGCATTTTGTGGAGCAATACTTTATCCAAATATCCCATTCCTCATACACCCTGTAACTCATCTGTTTACTTGTTTATATTGGTATAGACACATGGTTTCCCATTTTATTCAATGGGTTGTAACCTTTGCTGTCTTACTTATTTTGATGCTCCAATTTTCCCAGATGTGAGCAGTGGGAATCCCTTGCCCCCAAGCTCATGTCTGTGTCTTTCTGACACGTCCTGTCATGCTTCAAGCACTTCCTTACTTTTGGCACTAACAGATATTCCAGGCTCATCTTACACTTTCCCTGCCCTGCCCCTGGATTTGACATTTCTTCAGGGAGTCCTGGCTCCTTTTGGTGGAAGATGTTATGTAGAAACCAAGATACCTACAGGTATTCCTTGCTACTTGGGTACTGCTGACCCCAAATTCTTTCAGTGGATGGAGCCTGGGAATATACTACACAGCAAGAGTGACCCACAACACACACATCTCCATTTATTTCCACATCTGTCTTGTATATTGAAAGCCATGAGTTCATACCAATGGCTCTAATTCCGATTCACCATAGGAATCATTCTGGTTTCCTCCCTGTACATACTTGTAACTATACTTTACAAAAGTGAAAAAAATCTTCTGCATATTTTTCTTAATATACTCACTTATTTGTATGGAACCGATCTTTCTCAATGCCCTTACCTCCCTATCCTAGATGTTCTCCTTGCCCTGTTCAAATATTGACAGCCAGTGCTAAGCCACCACTGTCCACCCACCTCCAAATCACATGACATATCCACCCTGGGCTCCAACAGCCCAGTGCTGGGCCACACCTGCTGCCCCTTCCCTATGTGGATCCCTCTAGGTCTCACCAAATTCTAGCATCCAGTGCCCGGCCATGCTCCCACATAAACACCACTCACTCCTCAGGCTCCGGCACATTCTGCCAGGCTGCTCTCTGGCTCCGATGCCCTCCTCACCCCTGCCATCCCTTTCAAGGGGATACTCTTGTTGCTGTATTCAGGGTCTGATAACCATGTGGGTCAATGACCTAGACAGACACCCTCAGTGAGTAGCTCTGGCTCTGGCACTTTATGCAAGCAGTCATGATCACACACACATACACCCACCCATTTGAAGCCCGCCAAGCCTGAACTTTGCAAAGACTTTTGGATTTGGGGAGAAGATTCTGTGTTTTGAATAAAAGCTCTTTCCTCCTGTTTGAATTTAATGACCCATACCTTGCAAACAATTTAGCTAGTTGTAGGTGGACTCCCTATCATCTATATCATAATTCCTTTAACCAGAAGAAATTTAATAAAAATAGTGCTGGGTACAGGAGAAACAGACTCAACTAAAACACAACACTGACCTCGGCCAGTTCCACAATGGGGCTACACCCAGAAGACTGGTGTACCAGTTTCCCCAGGCAACAACCCTGTCTCCCCAGTGCATGGGTTGTGTGTACCCACCGTTCCTGTATTGCAAGACTTGGTTTTTAACGTCCACTAAGTTTGTTTGCTTGTTTTTAACTGACTTGAGCATCAACATGTAAGGAAAAATGTGAGTTAATCTCCAATTCTAAGATGGTTAGAAGCCTAAATTTTATACAACTCTATTTACTAGAGACATCTTTCAAATCTGAATGAAAACCTGAAAGCTTGACCAAAGTGAACTGTGAATCAGAAATCCAGGAACATACCCAAGGTGGCCTTCTGCCTCACTCATCAGAGAGTAAACCAGTTCTTTGAAGACAGAATTCCTCCTGGTACCTGAGCATCCTTTCAGAGTGGGTGCCATGATCCAGGGAGCCGCTTCTATCACTCAGCCCTTCTCTTTACTGGGGCCTCTGGAAGACATTTGCTGCTGACTAAACCTAACTTGAAGGAAGGATTTAACCATTCTACACACAATTTTCACCTTTCCTCCCAAGCAGCATTTACCAAAGTGCATTCAGGAAACACTGATATCCCAAAATGTTAATATCTACCACGGCATAAAAAGGGTTTGTGGCAAAAGGAGCGGGGAAGCCCCAAGGAACACAGACTCTGCCCTGCAGGACTCCTCAGGGCCCCCATTATGTGAATCTTGAGGGAGACGAAAAAGAACCACAGCCGTCTCTCTCCCTGACCTCACTATTACTGAGCTGTGGTACATTTTTAATGCAACATTTCTCAGAACTACTGTTCTATTGAAAATACGAGGAGAAAAACTTCTGTAACATTTAATAATAATGTATCACTGTAATTTAACAACTTAGGGCATTTACAAAAAGGAAAATACAAGTCGTAAGACATATGGAAAAATACTCAACTCACTAAAAAAATCAAAGAAATACAAGTAAAACAGTAAGATTTGTTACTGTTTTGTTAAGCAATGAATTCAACAAACAATAGTGGCAAGAGTATGGTGACTCAGTCACTCTCATACATGGCTAGTAAAGGTTGTCTTTTAAGAAAACAGTATGTTTTTTTGCAAAGCAGTTTAACAAACGTTCTAAAAACGATTATGTCCACTGACCTCATAAAGACCCATCTGAGAGTCGAGTCTTAAGGAAACAATCCAAAATGAAGAAAATGCTTTAAGCCCAAAGATACTAATGATTGTAATTAATTACAAGAAGAAAAAAAATCCCAAATAATAAAAACTCCCAACAACAGGGAAATGTTTCAGTAAATTGAAGTTCATGACACAACACTATGCAGCCATGAAAAATGTTCACAGCAGTTTTCCCAGCATGGGGAAATGCTTTCGGCATTATGGTACCTGGTAAAAATGTGGGCTACGAAGGTCTACATACGGCTCCAGCTGACCCTTGACATCCACGGAAGATACTGGAGCATACCATTTCTTCCAAAGCAGAGTGACTATGTATAGCTGAGCTTTTTAACTAATTTTCAGACCCTTAAAAAATACTGTAAAAGCACAACAAAGCCTTGTAAAAATGGGAACTCAGGACAGCTGGCTAGGTCACTTGCAAATTAAGTGTTTTACTCACAAATCCCAGCTTTGCAGCATGACATGAACAATTCAAATTTGTGCCTCAGCAAAATTACAATTTAATGCATGCCATGAACTTTCAGAGTTGCTTGGGACTATTAGATATTATGACTATTAACTGTGTGAATGCTAAGGATCTGTTTATTATATATTTAATTGAAAAAGTAAAGAAAGAAAAAATCCCAGGATGCTAGCAACTCTTACAGGGGCGGGGGAGCAGAGAACACGTAGGAGTGATTTCTCTTCTTCCCCACTATTTTCTGAATTTCTAAAACTTTCTATAATGAGCACGCATTACACTTCTGGTAAACATTTTGGTGAAATATAGGGCACATATTACTTTTACAATCATAAAAGATAAATTAAAGTTTACTCGTTAAAAAGAATAGAAGACGAATACCTGTCCTTTTGTCGTGTAATCTGCCAAGATGTTAAGTAGTTTATAAAATACTTCGAACCACGGGAGATAGCTGGGGAAGAGAAACACACGAAATATTAGTATGCAGGTCAAAAACTTTAACCAAAAGTGAATTCAAGACTGGTACGTTTCAGTTTTTCTCTATCCTACAGAGTCTTCCTGTCATAGTCTGTGCTGGAAACACAGACTGGTGAAATGCTAATTATTTCTGGGATTTAAAAAAATTGCCTGTAAAAGACAGAGGACTGAATGTTCATTATAAATTATTCCCATGCCTCAGAGCTAGACCAGGTTCATAGAGAAGACATTCAAAGCAGACTCTGCAATCAGGAACTATCTCTGAGTAGCCCCCAGGCCTCTCCTACCACATCCACCCTTTCCAGGAAGCTTCTATTCAAGTTTCTCATGATTAGACACACACAGCCACACACGGCACTTCCACTGCTGGCAGCTGCAAGGTGTCCCAAAGGCCCCATTCATACTGTTACATCAAACATTCCACCTATAACACACCCCTCCACATTCACTGTGGGTCAAGCGCTAACTTTCCATCCCCACTGCCCTCCACTAGGGCCTAACTATCATGCCCTGTAACTCTGCCAACAGCATGGACCTCACTCTATGGTCCATCCTCTGTGTTGCTTTTAGAATGGTCTTTCTAAAATGCAAATCTAAGTGGCACATTGGATTAAATTCCTGCAATGCGTCCCATTGCTGCAAGAAGCCCACTGCAGGACTGCTTAGGATGGTGTTTGAGACTCTCCACTGTCAGGCCTTTGACAGCCTTTTGACTAGCTTCCCTCTTCCCCACAGATGCCCTCCTCTCCTGGCAGCCTCACTCTGAGCATGCACAGGCAGAGTCAAGCCTGCCTGAGCTTGTCTACACTTGGCCCTATCCTCCCTCTGAACTTTATGGTCTGGTCTAGCTGATTTCTACTCATTCTCCTAATAGTACCCAAGCCCCTCCCTGACTCTCACGCCCTGATTCCCTCTGTTCCATATGGCCCTGGGCATGTGCATGCTCTTGTTATAATATTCCACAGACCATGTGGCACTCAGTGGTGTGTCTGTCTTCCCAACAGACTGTGTAAACAGAGAGGAAGGTTCACATCTTTTTTCACCTTGTCTTCCCAGGGCCAGCATGAAGCCCAGCACAGCATCAGTGCTCAGTGTGGACTCAACAAACAAAGCTAAACAAAGACTAACAGCAAATGCACGTTAGCATTACAATATTGTCAGTGAAATATATCCCCACTCCCAAGAAGTTTTTGTCACTTAATTTAAATGGCTTTATTTTCTATAAGAAACATTCCAAAGTGACATCCAATAGTCATGTGAGAAGTGCTGTACCAAGCACTGGCCACCCGGCTCACGTCCACCCTGCTGAGCTGACAGTGTCGCTGATAGAGCTGGTCTCAAAAGGAGCACCAATGCTGGACTCCATCCTGCCAGGCGGAGGGAAATCAGCACCCTGCATAGATTACCAGCTGTATCGCTAAGGGTAATAGATGAAGTGAGAGGCAATGGAGAGGACAGATAAAGTGCACAGTTCTCTATCACTAACGTCTGTCTGAGGCCAGCACATGCTACTGTAAAATTTAAGTAGCTTATCAGAATATACTGATAAGCAACTTAACTTTTCACTTCTATGACAGTATTATCACTTATGTTAATACATTTCAATCAGCTCTGGCAGCTGCATATTGACTATTAAAGAACAAATGATTGCTGCTACTTTACACAGCATTTACTTTGGCAGAGCAATGGAAACATTCAAGAGGGATTAGGGAGGAGATAAATTTCTCCCTTCCTATTCTGTTAAATAAACCTCAGCTGAGCTAAAAGCCATTCTAGTAGGAACAATAAATCCCCTTGGAAGAAAACTCTTGCCCAGATTAGAGGACTCTTAGTAAACAAATTCAACCAAGTGTTACAAATATTTTTTCTTTCAAGAAAAAAAAATACCACTAGTAAAATCTAGGAACTGAAAATCAGGAGTGGGGAGGTAGATAATAAAAAGCAAAAAGAGAAAGTTATTTCCTTGCAAAGAAGCTGTGGCCTCAAGTAAGTAAGAGAACAGCTGAACTCCTTTTAGGAACATGATGAAGTGACTGGGGGCAAGCTGGATTCTCTGATCATTTAGGACTCGGTAGGTACGGAAGCCCTTTTGTCTGCTGGGTTCAACTGACCAACATAACTAGGGCTGGGCCTCAAGCTCCCTGTCTGCCCCTCAACGAGGATGACGGATATGTGGTGAAACCACCCAGCCCACAGCAGACAGTGCTCAGGTTCTCACACTCAGCCTCAGCCTCACCAAATCGATTCTTTTTGGCTACGCTAAAGCAGAGCCCTCAGCCATGGGAGGTTTCGTAGTTACCCTGGAAATCAGCCATTTCTTTCTCCCTTTGGCCTGACCGGACACAACTGTTCTCCACATGTTGTCCCCTGTGCACTGACAGATGAGTATCTAGTGATGGCAGTGTTAAGGTCTTGAAACCAAAACCCAGCTGTCTTCTTCTTCAAAGGATCCCTCCTTTCCCCTGTTGGGAGGCCAGGGTTCACAGCTGAACTTTATCCAGCGCCGTTTCCTGTACCGCTTCATTAGTGTGGCACAACAGCTCCGCGCTGCCTGTGAGCTTGCAGGTGAGGACGTGGAGACCCTCCACTCCATCTTGAGCCTGTCTGTCATCGTGGAGTAAACACGACTTCCCAATCCCCAGACAGGAAACAAACACTCCATCATGCCGGTCCTCCCTAGATATCTACAGGAGCTCCGAACATCTCCGGGCCTGCTCCACTTGCTACCTTGGAGCCACTGCTCGAGTCCACATCACAGGGCATCCCTTGTGGTGGGCTCAGACCAAGGGCTCATCCCTTGTGGTTGGGGCCTGAAAGACAAGTGCAAAGGATCCCTATACTCAAGGAGGCCATGGCTCTTGGGGGGAAAAGAAGCACATATACAATGAAGTACGATTGTTTGGGTCCAGAGGAGGAGCTGGGACTCTTTCCCAACTATTTTATTTAGTTTAGGCTTTTGATCAATTATAAAATTATAATGGAGCATTATCATGACCCAACCAGCCGAGCCTTGATGGAGAAAAGCCTGTTTCCTAGGCACTGGCCTGGATTTAAGGTTCTTTCACCCAACTACATCCCAGGTAACTTGTTCCTCACTTGCAGGCCTGACAGTCGAACACAGAGGCTTTTGCCTGTGTGAGGTAATAAAAAGTCTTAAACCCAAGAAGAGCTTGGGCAGCACCTGCAGTATTCCTACATACACAGCCTTGCCAAAACGGCCACCACAGGCCCGGAATTCCTTATAAGACGTGCAGGAGCATATTCCAGGGATACTGCATGTTGTCGAGTGGTCTGTGGTCAAAACCACCTGTAAGAAGCACTTAAATTGCCTCCAACATACAGCAGAAATGGTTTACACAGACACAAAGTAGTTGGCTTGAGTATGCTCAAATATGTCAGCTTTGGTGAGCTGCTTACTCTTGAACTGACTCAAGAACTGAGTCCAACTGAGGACAGACAAATCACTTTCCTAATCCTGCTCCACTGAATGTGTTGTCAGGGTAACGGTCCCACTGTCGTGCGTATACAGATGTATGACTGACCTTGTGTGACAGCACTCCACTTCAGTGTCATGAGCATTAAAACAGGAAACCATTACAAACTGTAAAAAGCTCTCCTACTTCTCTTTGCTAATATTTCAGTTCAGAGCAAAGCAGGTGTGTGTGTGATGAGCGAGCCATGGTGGTGGAGATGGGTGGCAGGGGCTAATCAAGTTGAGGGAGGTGGCCACCTGGGAGAACCAGTGGCTGGGAGCAGGGCATTAGAGCTTGAGCACAAATAGAGGCCATCCTCTTGGAGGCGCAGCCTGGCAGGGGGCACTGGGGGCCAAGTGGGGCAAGCAGGGGTCCCTGGCAAGAGAAAGTTTGCCACACTAAAATTTGATGGTTACTGGATATTATTTTGACAACACCTTCCAAATGGGGCATTTATATTAGACTTGCAACTTTTGGGGAAGTTTCTATTATTGTTTCCAAATTAAAATAAAATGGGGCCCTGGCTGGTGTAGCTCAGTGGATTGAGCACGGGCCTGTGAACCAGACAATCGCGGTTCGATTCCCAGTCAGGGCACATTCCTGGGTTGCAGCCAGGTTCCCTGCAGGCCAGTTCCCAGCAGGGGATGCACGAAAGGCAACCATACATTGATGTTTCTCTCCTTCTCTCCTTCCCTTCCCCTCTCTCCCTCTCTCCTTCCCTTTCCCTCTAAAGACAAATAAATAAAATATTTAAAAAAATATAAAATAAAATGGGGATTGTAAGAGGTTCTTCTTCCATAATACCATAAAAGAGACCAACTAGCATATACAGAATGACATGAGTTGGAAAAATAAAAATTTTGAAATCATAACTGTTGGGAGGGGCATTCAATGGAGAGGACAGTCAGTGGCAACTGTGGGAATCAGTACTCATTCACACAAAGAAGACTGTGTTCAAAGAGAGTGTTCTCAGTGTATGGGAGAAAGACTGGAAGGGGTGGAGATGAAAAGCGTTTAGAGGTAGAAGAAACTCATGAGCAATGGCTTATAGTCGTGAACCTCCCTGCCTGCTACTGGAACAGCCAGAGAGCAGGGTGTACAGGCAGTAGGGCAGAAGTTGGGGAGTGTGGAGGAGGGTGAGGGGGCAGAAGGGCCAGACTCTGGAGGACCGAGTTCATAGATCAAACCAATGGGCCTCCCCTTTATTCTGTAATCACTGGGGAACCAAAGGGACAGTTAAAAATGAGTAACATTCTGAGCATGAGATTTAGAACCAGGTAGGAAGTGACTCTCTCCCCCTCATCGTAAACCTCAGCATCATCCATTGGAACAGGGCCATTCATTTTTCCTGTTGACTTTCTGCTGTCTGAGATCTTTTCTCAAACTCCACGTGGGTACTCAAGGGTGGGCTATCCCTTCTTTTCAGACTTTCTGTCAGCAGATTTTGACAAGATTCACTGGGGGCAAAGCATCCCTTGGTAAAGGCTATTTCACATTGAGT